GAGTAGAAAATGTAATATTGAGTCTTGTATTTAGAATAACCACATTTGGAAACAATGTCTATAATATTTACCTCTACAACTGGAGAGGCACAGAAGTGACTTAATTTTAGATTCACTATACATATGATCTTGTGGCATTCTTAAGATGGATAATGATGCTAAACTTTGGGAGTCCTGGCTTTACCAGTAACTAGGATAAAAAGACAACAGGAGCAGCAATAGTGAAAGGTGACAGTTTGCTTGAATTAGAACACTATTCACTAATTGTGTGAATGGGCTAACAACACCTTAGTCTTTCCATCTGTAAAATGGGAACTGTAGCAATCCTAAATCTTAGTTCCTCTGGAGATCATAAGTAAAAGCTTGAAACAGTGCGGTTAGCTATGCTTACAATGACTGTTGGGGTATTGGAGGCCTGTTACAAATAAAATACTAGATAGATAGAGCATATATTACTGCATCTAATTCTGGAATAATATTTTGAAGTATGGGGAATTATTATCCTCACTTTTATAGATTAAGAAACTAGGATTATTTTATTATGAAAATCATTTATGGATATAGGATGTTATCTAAAAATTTAGATTACATTCTTTCAGTAACTTTTGGGGATAAAAAAATAAAGTTCCAATTTTCCAAAATAGACCACATTTTAGGTCACAAAGCAAACTTGTCCAAATTCAGAAACATTGAAGTTATACCTTGCATTCTCTCAGACCACAAGGGAATAAAATTAGAACGCAACACCAAAAGCCACCAAAGAAAGTTCTATAACAATGGAGGCTGAACAACACACTGTTGGATCACCAGTGGGTCATGGAAGAGATTAGAAATGAAATTCAAATGTTCATTATATTCAACAAAAATGAACACACAAATTACCACTTCCTCTGGGACACAGCAAAGGCAGTACTCAGAGGCAAGTTTATAGCTCTGAGTTCCTACATCAACAAATTGGAGAGATATAAAATCAACAATTTAATGAGTCAGCTGAACCTCCTTGAAAAAGAGCAGCAAGATAAACCCCAATCCAGTAGACAGAAAGAAAAAATTAAAATTAAATCAGAATTAAATGAATTAGAATCCCAAAAAAACATAGAAACAACAAAACAAGAGTTGGTTTTTCAAAAATATTAACAAAATTGACAGACCCTTAGCAAATCTTATCAGAAAAAGAAGAGAACACACCCAAATAAATAAACTCAGAGATGAGACTGGAAACATCACCATAGAAACAACCAAGATTCAGAACATTATAAGGGAATACTTCTCAAACCTTTATGCTAATAAGTTTGAGAACTTGGCAGAAATGGATCTTTTCCTAGCAAATATCAACATGCTGAAACTAAACCAAGATGAGTTAAACCATCTTAACAGGCCCGTATCAAGCACTGAAATAGAAACAGCAATAAGAGACCTCCCATCTAAGAAAAGCCCAGGATCAGATGGATTTACAGCAGAATTCTACAAGGCCTTCAGAGCAGAGCTCACACCAATACTCCCTCAACTCTTCAATGAAACTGAGAGAGAAAGTTCACTACTGAACTCATTCTATGAAGCCATCATACCCCTCATTCCAAAACCAGGCAGAGACTCATCAAAGAAAGAGAACTACAGATCTATTTCTTTGATGAACATTGATGCAAAACTTCTCAACAAAATTTTGGCCAATCGACTTCAACAATTCATCCAAAAAATCATACACCACGATCAAACAG